AGTTTACCTAGGAAGCGTGGCACAAGTTAATTTGAAATGATCAGCAGTGCAAAGACTTTTGTTACATACTGTATATATGGTAGTTGTATAACCCGGAAAGATTACGGTAATAGTGGATTGATATATAGTAATGGCATATATAGTGGTGGTAGGATGAAAGTTGGGGTCGGTGATAGTCGGTGTTATCGTTGTCTTTGGACCATCAGTTTGAGCAGTCGTTATGGTGGTGGTTATTATTTGTCCTGTCATTCCCCTATAAGTTTATTTATCAAAGAATCAGCAATAATATTAAATATGAAAAGAAAAGCGTAAATAACCTACGTTGAAGTATCCGTTTGGCAATCAGTGTCGCTACAAACGTTTTCAGTTATGGTTGTTTGAGATGGAAGTGGGATGGAGTCTTCTGTGAAGAAGCGGATAAAGTTTCAGAATCAGATTTGAAAAAATTGGAAAGGGTAGATGTTTCAGATATGAAAGTGGTGAACGAAATTAGACAGCTAACAAATTTATAAAGTACCGTACTTGGTGTTGACGTCCTTGTTGACGTTCCTATAGTTGTCCCTGGCTCTGTGGACGTTCCTATAGTCGCCCCTGGCTCTGTAGACGTTCCTATAGTCGTCCCTGGCTCTGTGGACGTTCCTATAGTCGCCCCTGGCTCTGTGGACGTTCCTATAGTCGCCCCTGGCTCTGTGGACGTTCCTATAGTCGTCCCTGGCTCTGTGGACGTTCCTCTAGTCGTCCCTGGCTCTGTGGACGTGTTCTGGCTAGTTACGAATGAAAATGTTATTTGCGTTTTTGAAGCCTTGCAAAATTGTAGTTGATACTTGCCTTGTGCCTGATGTGCCTGATATAATTGTAGTTGATACCATTGGTATGGAAGTGCTTGGATCAATCGATCTAATTACAAAAAAACCATAATTTTAATTGTATTGTCGAAGTAAATGCGCTTATTACTATTTGTAATTTGAAGTTCATACTTGCCTAGTTTGCGTGGGAGTTCCTGGATTGGTCGGGCTAGTTACAAATGCGGTTATTATTTGTATTTTCGAAGTAAACGTGATTAGTACAATTTTAGATGATACTTGCCTTTGTATGGGAGTGCTGGAATCGGTCGGTCTAGTCACAAATGTAATTATCATTTGCATTATTAAAACAGACCGCTTTCTGCAATTAGAGTTAATACTTGCCTGGTTTGCACGGGGGTGTTTGGTGCGGAAATGCTAGTTACAAATGTGGTTGTTATTTGCGTTGTTGAAGCAGACATGCTTGCTACAATTGTTATTGATACTTACGTTGTCGGGGGGTTAACAACAGTTGTATCCCCAGCCCGTGTATTTCCTGAAACTGAAGTTCCTGCTTGTCGTCTTATTACATCATTGACTATAGACGCCGCGTTAATGGTTGCATGCAAAGTGCTTAAAACCAATAAGGAAATTACAAAGGTGGTTTTTTTGGTGTATTTCATTTTTTAATTTTCCAATCTTATAAAGGTTAAACTCAGACGAGATTTGAAGATTTAGGAGTTTAAAAGTATGTGGTTTTCGTAGTACAAAAAAATGGTGACGGAACAATCAGTTACACGTCTGATGTTTCGCGACCATCCACTTTTTTCTTTTAGGTTCTTATCTAAACTTAACGTTTAAATTTTTATGTATCCCATATTATTAACGTTCTTCCAAATGAAACCATATTTATCGGGGAAACTTTGAAAGCATCCTTCTAGAATTCCGTTTGTTTTCAATATGGTAATTGTAGAATCTCCATATATAGAACTATTATTTACGATTGATTTTTTTTTTGGAATGGCGAAAGGGACAATCGTATGCCTAAAAATAGACTGATTTAATTTTTTGTAAACACTTAGGTTCATATCTCAGCGACCCGTTTCAATATACAGAAGTTATGAATGAAAATTCACCTGCGAAAACGATAATCTGAAACGAGATTCGTTATCAACTTTTTTTATTATTGACATACTGTAAATAAAATAAAATTCAAATTAAAAAAATTATAATATTATTAATAGACGCTTCTTCGGTACTTCAAATTGATACATTTTAACCTTAGAATCAAATCAATAATCGACGCCACGCTGACACTTTTATAAAGTTGTTTTGTTGATAATTTTGCTAGATCCTTATCATCTCTTCAAAAGAGATCTCAACACCTGATTCTGAAACTTAAAAAAGAACCTACGTTCTGTTGATTGAAATATACGACTAATCCGTTGCAAAATTTCACGATACAACAAAATATTTGGTCCTCCCAGTGTAACCTATAGCATATTGTTCGTGACAACAATTACAGATTTTTTTATTTCGTTTTATGATCACACTCCAGAAAGCAATCCGAATCCCTGTACTGTGAATAGTTAAAACGTGTTGGCGGATACGATTTAGTTCATATAATTTGGACATAAAGTATCATTCAAAATTTGATGTGTGGTTCTTTCGTCTTGGTGATAATAAACGACATTTTAAATTTAACCCAAAATTTAAAGTTTTTAATTCATGCAAGGTTACACGGTTACGACATAGATTTATGACAAAAATGGGGTTTTTGTTGACGCTCTTTTTGTTTTTGTATTCAACAAACATTAAAAAATCATACTTATTAAAGTTTTGTTATTATACAGTATTTACATCACTAAAATCTCTTTTATCCCAAGCTTTTATCTCTTATGTTCCTAATTCCCTTAATATCCAAAAATCTCAGGTATTCCTCTATTTTTACATGGATCTAATTATAATATAATGGACCCATGAAATTATTACTGTTGTTACTGCATCCCTTGTACCTTTCTACAACAGTTAACAATAATTATTCTTTCTCAAATAATTATATTTGATATATTTTCAATCCAATTATATTGTAACACGAGTAATGGTGACGCGATCTGCATGAAATAATGTTAGAAAACAAGAAAGGATCGGCTAAGTCACGTGACCTGCTTTTGCTTGTCAGATAAATTAAATTATGTAATGTCATAATCTATTATGTAATGGTTTCGCTGTGATTCCTTATTTTCAATTTCTTTTTTTGTTTATTTTATTTTCTTATTGTCGATTATTATGTAATTATTGGTTTCATTGTATAAAAAAGACCCACATCGTTAATAAAAAATTTAAGTTTTTTCGGCCACAATCAATTCCGCCTCACCCATAAACAAAAACACCTACTATCGTTACTCGAAACTAAGTTTCCATTAGCGACAGACTCGCCGATCACCGTTACAATATTAAAAACCCAAACTTGTTTGATCTTTTTATTTATAAAATATTTCGAGCAAAAAAGAAAAAGTAAAATTTTGCAGTAGCACTTTTCACTCAAAAAAAAATCTCCCATGTTTAATAAATATAATTTTTATTAAATAATAAGTAAAAAATAAATTTTAAATCTATTTGCATATACAATATATCAATAGTTATTAACATATTTTTTATTCGAACCATACAATATTAATTCAAACCACTTAACTTTTCTATTTAATATACTTCTAATAGATATAAATATTTACTTATTTATCCTTTTGATATATAGTACATTGATAAAATATAAAAAAACTCTTTCCTGAAAATTTCGCATCACTTAAAATTTTCCTTTTTTAGTAACTGGCAAAATTATTAGGAGAAGCAAAACAACAACCGCTCTTGGGAGCTCCTCTTCCAAGGAAAAACCACCAAACCCATCTCATATTCTCTTGGACATAGTAATAACAAACATCGTTGAACAACTCTTTTCTGTAGTATATAAGGAAAGTAACTCAAGTAATATCCAAGTCACTGAACCAGCAAAAAATGTATCTATTCCAGCCCTAACTGACTTTCCTAAATTTTGAATTGTTCCCTTGCAAAACCCAAGTAAAAATAGCTCCACTCAAGTGGACACCACCTTTGTCAGCTTTAAACAAGTAACAATCGGCTCCACCTCTTTTCAAACACATACAACGGCTTCTCTAACCATCAACAATCGCAAAAGTAACACCCAGAACAACCTCAATGACTTCTTCCAATATCAAGAGAAGAATAACCTTGCCCCAAGCATAAGGTAGACCATTGCAAAAAAGGTCCTAGATAACAACTTCAACTATACTTTCCATCTTTCATGGAATCAAGTTAATATTATTAAAAGTGACAAAAGATTTAACCTGAAAAAAATTCAGAACGCACCATCTCATACACCACCCAACATGCCAGTACAAGATGAAGAATCAACAATCGTCGAGCAAAACCTCACTGAAAAATTTGAAGGAAAAAAGCTTCCATCCCAAATTCCCAAAAAAATCCCAAGCAGATTACCCCCTCCTAGTGATCTACAGAACACGATCAACCCCAAAACAGCTAAAACCAACAGCAGCACACATGCACCCCCTGCGGCTCAGGTACAAGCAAGCGTGACAAGTACGGCAGGCTACGCAGCACAAAACATCAACGACATGCATAATTAAGGTGACATGATGCAAATGAATGACCTCCACCATGCAGTCACCACCGACTATCAACATGACAAATCAGGAAGCCCAATCAGACACACCAGCCCCTGCTCTGATAACGATATATCAATGAAGTCCATGGACACCACTAATCTCATTGGTAGCAACAGCTCCCTCATAGAATTTGACCGGCAGATACAAGAAGAACTAGGCAAGCTGCAAGAAAATGTCCCCCAAGCTCAACCAGATACTTATAAACTGACACCTGACCAAGTCAGAAGAAAGAAAATACTTGAAGAAGCCGAATCCGGCTGGCCATCCAATGATTCAAGCCTGAATAAAGATCTTGATATCTCCCGTAGTCCCTCACCCACTAAAAATCCACTGAAGAAATCACAATCAGCTCCCCTCTCATACAGTAGAGAAAGCAGAATTGCAGAAATACTTTCAGAAAGTAGCCATTCGATAAACAGCCCCAAGGTCACAGGCACAGCAGGCAGCAACGAATGGTTCATCAGCGAACATGATACAATCATTGACTTAGCGTCACAGTTACTGGCATGCCACAGTAAAGCCAAAGCAATAGCTGACCTTTTCGAGAAAATCATGAAAACCTCTAAAGGAACAGTAATACAAGAACCCCATTTAGCAATCTTCACTAAAATCCTATTGAGAGACAGGACCTTTTTCAGATCATTTACCAAAAATAACCTACTCAAAGGTGATCACCAAAAAGAGTACGAAGAGCTAGAAACAAAAGCGCATGAAAATTACAAAAAAGTCAACGACGTTGGCTATATCAATAGGAGAATCAAAAGGAAAATCAGATGGATACGCAATGCATCACTACTGGTGGCGTGTCTTAGATACACTAACTTGAATAAATTCAAATATTTCGAAATTGCACAAATTCTTGAATTCAGATGCAATTATTTTACAAAAGATGATGACAGCACAGTCGACTACATTGAATTGTTAGATATAATCAAAGAAATGTTGTACAAATCACTACCAGCTCTCCCAGACAATCCAGAATCCATTTCTTCCAGAATAGTTATCAAACTCCCAAGCCCACTGCCAATCAAAAAAAGATCAATGCTCTCATCTACAGTATCAGTTCTGAGAACACACTACAAGTTCTCTCAGCTTCCTGACTCATACTTCTTCAAGTTTGAACCATTGCCAGATAACCCCGGGGACCTAAACGAAAACACTAAATATCTCTTCCCCATCACAGAAAGAAAAGACCTGAAAGAACTTTCAGCAAGAATAAAGGAGCTGGCTAAGTTCTACGAAGTTCTCACAAGATAGCCAAAAACATTCTTTGATTTGCCACCTCCCAAAGTCCCACTCCCAGCATCATACAAGCTGCTCCCAGAGCACCTTGTATATTACTTCCCTTATGACCCGATGGTTATAAATACAAGAGAGCTTATTGGCATCTTAAGAAAATAATACAGCCTTAAAACTTTGCCGCTGGATTTCTATAAGTTCAAAAGACCATTGCCTCGCTCCCCCAACTCATTGTTGGATGATCTTGGCATAAATATCCCTGTCCAAAACAAAAAGGATGCTGACCATCTTATCAAGCATCTACAGAAAGACTTTAAATTTAACCTGCCTCTTGGCCCTCAATGGGTCAACCCGACTATCTCCCAGACAGATAAAGAAAAGCTTCCAAACAAGATCTCTGAAGTGAATAAGTCTATTGTTATTAAAGACCATATTGATTACCAAGATAACAACTTCCTGCCAACAATGTGTAAATTGCACGAGAGATATGAGTTCTGTACTATCCCAGAGAACTGGTTCCAGGCTCCAAAGCCACCCTTACCCTCCATGGACGCACTTAATAAAATATCAGAGGACAATCTGTCTTCAATACGTTTCCTCCTTACAGATGACGAAAATCTACCCTCACTAATCACGCAACTCCATAAAAAATACAAATTTGACAGATTACCAGAGGAATACATAGCCCTCAAAGATCTACCGGAGCCTGGCTTTGATCTTATTCCCTTTATCTGTTAAAT